GTCTTTTTTGGACAAGATTGTTAAATTAGTTTTGTGTGTATGTTATGATTAGAACAGATAATGTCAGGATCACATCATTGTAAACTGTCAGCTTACAATATGCCCCAACTATGTCAGTGCTCACACTTCTCTTCCTTTCTTTTAGGGTCTTAGACTTACATATTTGTACCAGACATGTTAAATTAATGTGCAAAAAGCCAAACTTGTTAAGTTTGAAAATGTGCTTATCCCAGTCTAAAAGCAGCAGCATTATGTGAAGCAGAATCACACGCTCTGATGTATGATCTGACCGAGATAGAATCAGTAATTCAGAAGCGGCACGACATTCATAGGCCTATCTAATTTCACCCCTCCTGCAACCCTCTTTTCATAAGAGCGGTGTAGGTTGGGTTATTAGCACCCATCACGTAATCCCCAGATTTTAAGATTAGCATGACATTTGGCTGTGTTTATTCATTATCTTCTATTACAGCTCTCAAAGGGAGTGGAGAAAACCTTGTCAGTCAAGCTGTGGAGATGTATAGGCTGTAACCAATAAGCCGCTGATGTATTCCTACCACATTCTCTCAGCAGCATGATCATGGTCTAAGAAGATCACAGCCCAGAAATGTCGGATTACTTGGAGGAAGGATGGAAAATCCAAAAGTAAAGAACAAAGTTGAATAGCAGATTCTCTAACTCATCAATACTTCTGAATGAACAGACAGAGATATTGCACTGGGAATCAGATATGGAGGGATCTTTTAATAGACAGCACAATTTGTGGGATGATACAATGTTGTTTTTTGTTATTTTTATTGAACTTAATGTTACTATGAGGGTGTTCTGTGTGGTTGCTTACTCGCCAAGTCACAACTTTTACCACCCACCAGGTGAAAATAGTAACTCAGAAAAGTAATAGCACACCTATCCTTAAGACGAACCACAATTTGGAGGAATCATTAATGGCCATAGCACAGACGAGATTGGTTACTTGGTTTAAAACTAAGGGTATGAGCAATATTCATTGTGATGTTTGCCTTTACAAACACCACTAATGATGAGAATAATGAGTTTCCAAACACTCATCTATCTTCTATTGTTTGAAAAACTGCTAGTCTGATGTCAAACTGATGATTGACAGAGAGATGTTTTTCTGATTGGAACATGAGCAGGTATGTTTCAGATACAAGTGTTGTCTCTCAGGACACTTGTTTCAGTGATGTCTGTCATTTCATGTGTAGTATTTCAAAAAAGTTTCTTAAAGGGTTAGTTCACCCAAAAATGAAAATTCTGTCATTAATTACTCACCCTCGTGTTGTTCCAAACCCGTAACACAGTTTAATATATTTTTGATGAAATCTGAGGGCTCTCTGACCCTCCCATAATCGCAACATGAAAAATTGATACCGGCATATCCCTACATCAGTGGTTCAACTGTAAAGTTACGAAGCTAATACTTTTTTGCACAAAGAAAACAAAAATAACGACTTTATTCCACATTTACGACAGTATCATGATGCGAGCGTGTGGAGGCGCTGACCCAGATCCGGCGTGATGACGTCATTATGCCAGATCTGGATCAGCGCCGCCACACGCTCGAGTCATGGTACTGTCGTGAACACGCGTCCACAAGTGACGCAGTAGAGACGAAAATGTGGAATAAAGTCGTTATTTTTGTTTTCTTTGCGCAAAAAAGTATTCTCCTAGCTTCGTAACTTTACAGTTGAACCACTGATGTCACATGGACTACTTTGTCGATCATCTTGGTACTTTTCTGGACCTTGAACGTGGTAGTTACCTTGCTGTCTATGGGAGGGTCACAGAGCCCTCAGATTTCATCAAAAATATCTTAAATTGTGTTCCGAAGATGAACGAAGGCCTTACGGGTGTCGCACAACACGAGGGTGAGTAATTAATGACAGAATTTTCATTTTTGGGTGAACTAATAACCCTTGAAGTCATCCTTGACAGTACTTTAGTCTTTGAGGCACATGTAAATAACAATATGCGGTCTGTGTATCATCACATACGAAATATTAATCATCTTCAACTACAGTATTTCTTGCAGCTTATAATACTATGGAAGCCCTCCGCCACTGAATAAAAAATAAAAAAGATAATTGCAACTTTTTGTATCAGAATTTTGACTTTTTCTCTCAGAATTGCATATAAACTTGCAATTGCAAGTTACAAAGTCAAAATTGTGTGATATAAACTTGAAATTGTGAGTTAAAGTCAGAAATGCAAGATATAAACTCGTAGTTTGGAGTTATACAGTCCTATTGTGAGATAGAAACTTGCAATTGTAAGAAAACTGCAAGTCTTTTCCCCCCTCAGAATTCAGAATTATTTAGTAATTCAGTACTTTTTATCCCTCAGAATAACTCGCAGTTTCGAGTTTATACCTCATAATTCAGAGAAAAGAAGTCAGAATTGCGAGAAAAAAAAAGCCAGAATAGTGAGATATAAAATCTTTAAGTGCAAGAATAAAAGTCAGAATTGTGAGATAAAAAGTTGCAATTACCTTTTTTGGTCCCACTTTATGTTAAGTGGCCTTAACTACTATGTACTTACATTTAAATGAATCATTTGATACAATGCACTTATTGTGTACATACATGTTTTTACATTGTACTTATATTTTTAAAAATACCTGCATGTAATTACATCTGTAATTAATTTCTCTCTCTCTTTCTCACACATGTATGTGTGTCTATCAATGATTCTGCTCACATCAGAATCTCATTTCATATACTGTTTTTGGTTAATAGTTGTGCATAAGTGGTAATAAATGGTAAAATACTGTTGAACTGTACAGTTTTAGCACAGAAAGAAATTACAAGAGCAGTCATGAGTCATACCCAGTGCTGCGCGCAATTATTTAGGCATTGCATAAAGATATGAGGCTTATAATAGAAGCATGAAGTATGAATCAAGTCTGTCACAATACTCTCACACTTTTGAAGAATTGTAAATGAAATCAGCTAAATGTTTATCTGTTTCTGTGTGGGTTAAGAGCTCTGTGTACAGAAAAAGATCAAATTCAGTTGAGCAGTTGTCATTGGCAATAACAGTGGCTTTTACTTTCTGTCAGACAGGAATGATTTCTGAGTTAATCAAGTGTGTTTTTAAGTTATATACTGATGCATAAACATATACGGTTTTGATTGAAAGGGTGAAATAAAGCTTAACTTTTGAATCTTTAGCTGTCGTGATTTGTGTCGGGCCTTTTCTCAAGAGTCTGACTGCATGTCACCGGTAAACAGAGTTGGTACTACAGCATTTGAAATACAGCATTTCGCTCTATTTTTTTTTTTTTTGTGTGTTAAATGCACAGAACACAATTTCAGTTGAGCCCCATCTCTGGTTAAGTTTTACATCTTCTTCCTATCCAATACCTGCATATTTCCATATCGAAGAAAGTGATCGACATGATTCATATAGAAAATGGTAAGCAAGCACTGCTTTGATTATGGTTTGTATATCCGCAGTCCTAGTTCTGGTGAATACTGACTACTGCCACCTGCTGTGACAGTTATTTCCTCTCATGCAGGTGCAGGATGGACGTGCTAATTGGCCGTTGGCTGTAGTCTTTGCAGTGAGATCAGTCGGCTTGGTGTGTCACGGCCTTTATTCTGAGTCAGGAGGCTCGCAGAACTACTTACACAAATGCTCATTACTATCATCAGGTTTCATCTGAGCTTTCCTTGTGTTACATTCTAAACAAGCAACGAAGCAACGAATGTTTGATTGCATTGGTTGTTGTACGTATCATTGCAGTTCGGAAATGAAATGTCAAAGGTTAATGCTATATCGCATTTAAAAATAACATACCACCTAATCCCAATATAACCCCATATAAAAATCCCATTTTATGAAGCAAGTTACAGTATGTGATGCAAACAACAAAATGCATTATAGTGTACAAATAATCACTATGAAAGTGGTTTGAGTTCATAACATAATATTCCCATTCATAAAAAAAAATAATAAATAAAACAAAAAATATTTTTAAATATGTTACAAAAGATAGAAATGGCCATTTTTATTTATTTATTTGCTAAAATTAGTTTCAGAATATATTTAAAATATATTTACGTAAATATATTTTCTACCAATATATTTATATTAATATATATATATATATTTTAGAAATATACATGTATATATATACATTATGTATATATATACATTAATATAGAAATACACACACACACACACACACACACATATATATATATATATATATGTATATATAAAACTTTATCAAATCATTGTTTTCATCCACATTTACATTTTGTATTTTTATTTATTTATTTATTTTTTTTTTGCCCCTGAAATACATTTTAAATTATGGTAAATGAAGTTTGAGACATATTATATAACTATATTATATTTTCAAAATATATTATATAAAGTTGAAAAGCATATTTCATTGAGCTTTACTGTTTTCAACATATATTTAGCATGTGTTTAAAATATATTTTGGCCAGAAAAATGTATTTTTGCCATATGTGTTGTGCAGGAAACCATGCTAAAATAACTTATTAATTGATCATTTATCCTCTAATCATAATTTGTGTGAAAAGGAATAAACGTTGTTGGTATTTTACTGCCACTAGAGTTCTTTGCAGCTGGAAACTGCTTTGATGATAATGAATGAATAAAATAAACTGCTTGAATTGTATGTATAACTAGTTTTTGCAAAAATGTATGAAGAGGCATGATTTTCCAATGAGCCTATGTTGGAAAAAAAATGTCAACATTTTCCAGTAAACCTTTGCTGTGAGTAAATTGTCCTTATCTCAGTGGAACAACTTCCTCTGATCCACTTGTGTCTTTCCGTGTATCTCCCTTCCCCCCACGACTCTTGTAACCTCTCCGTGTACCGGGCAGCAGGGCTGTAAACGACACCGGGGCTATTAATTAATTAATGGCCTTTAGCCGAGCGGCTGGCTTTCTGGGCCGGGCTCAGGCAGAGAGCGTAGTATCTCTGTTTGGAGGCATTAGGACAGCAAGAGACCAGAGCAGCATTCATGTAGGGGAGCTGGTGGCCGTTTCATGCTGAACGTCTATCAATCACCTGCACCACTGTGGTCCTGCGCAGTTTTCTGGGCAGAAAGAAGCAGCAGGGGGAGGGATGAGACGTGGGAGAAGAAGAGGGAAAATGGCGATGGAGGGGCCTAGGCATCAACCGCCTACCCTCGTCCCATTGCTGATGAGCGTGACGGCTGTGTTGATCTCACACCACATCTTCAACGCCGCTGCACAGATACCAGACCCTGAGGTAAGAGCTGCTTAGATTTTACGGCCCCTAAACTACACCGTTGTTGCGACTCTCTTTGTATTGAACAGGCAAGCGTGAACCGCTTTTCATTTTTATGGCACTGAATGCATTGATACAACGGCAGCGTTAAAAACACATCGCATCCTGCCATAGATTTCTCTAAATACACCTCTAGGTTAGCGCTTATGGTGTTTCAGACGTTTGACAGTTAAACGCTGTTGCACAGTTATATAGCTATTAAAAAGCTATTTACAATAAGTGCAGTAGTGCAAGGTCCCTCTGTTGCATCTGTCAGACAAGAAGACAATACTTTGCCTGAAAGAACCAAGGACATATATTTATGTTAACCCACTCAGATGAAAAGCAGTGCATTAAGAAGTGACATTAGAGGTCAGTATCATGAAAGGTCAATTCCTTAAATTTCTCAGAATGACTGACAGAGAGTAAAGAAACAGATTTGCGATGTGTATAGGAAACGTAGAAGATCGTTTATGTTTCCTTTATTCACTCAAATTGCTGAAAGAACTACTGGAATAGAGGATTTGGATAATGGCTGTCTTAAACTTCAACTCTGAAGGACATTAGTCACAAATGATCTTACTTGCAGTATTTTTCTGTAGGAAAATGCTGCCCCTAGCAGAATTATTAGTGCTGGCTATTACTATTACGTACTTTTAGAGATATGGGTAACAATTACAGTGTGCGTTATAAATCAGGGAGACATTCCAAATGCATAATACATGCATGTTTACATTGTTCCCTGATAATGTGATATTGTCAGTATTGGAGAGGAGGAAGATCCATCAGCTGTCATTGTTAAATCATAGACGGTCGATTTAGACAATGAAAGACTGTTTAAGTTTCATTGACTGCTTAAGGACATCCTGTTCATTACATCAAGTAGTGCATTACTGTTGCCACGTGAGAAATGGTCATCTTTGGAACCAATGTTAGCCGGAAACATTTACAGCAATGCAAACATTTTCACCTAATTCAAAGCTAAGGGTCATCATTTCTCACATTTTCAGAGTTAAGGGTCATCATTCGTGTTTTACAAAACGATAATCATTTACAAATGAGATCTAAAATGTCAGTTGGCATTGTCAATGTTTGATTTTAAATGCACAGCACTGTAGCAATGTAACACAATGAGAGTTTTCCAAGATGTAATGTTACATTTATTAAAAAAATTCTAAAAAATGCCGGGTGAGGAAGCTGGGTTGATTTGACCCAGTTTGGGTTGACAATTGTTTATAATCAGTGACCCAGCGGTTCTGGGTTGGGAAGGCGGTTGTAAAAGAAAGCTTGCTGATAGCACTTCACCTCTCTGTGTTCATGGCACTCTTGACAGGAGTATGTCTGGAAAATAGAAGAAACTAATCGAAGTGAAGAGATGACTGGTGAGCGTGAACTAAAAAAGATGGAATGGCTCTTGAGAGGAGTGACTGAAAAGGCTTTAATCCGGTCTATTCGCTACAATACAGGTTTATTCCTGACTTTCAGTGTTTATTACAGGCTTTCAGTTTGTGTGTTTCTTGGCGGCACTCAAACACACTTTGAACAAAGGCCTCCTGTAGCGAATCGATGCGTTTTCGTAAGAAAAATATCCATATTCAAAACGTAATAATCACTTGAATCTAGCTTGCGCTCACGGTTGTAAACAGAAGCGGTTCCGGGCGGATGACGTATGAGGTCGGCTTTGCGCATGAGCCGCTCAGAAGTGACGAACGCAGAAACACAGCGGAGAGATCAAAACAAAACAACTGTAACGAATTAGAAGTACAAAACGAGGATTTGTAAAGAAGAATGTCTGAGGATTTCGATATAAGCCAAGAGGAGACTGGTTTTCCTTTGCTAAAGTAAGGAAACTTTGCTTCCTTTGCTCCTGTAAACAAACACTGGTTTTCACGAGACTCACCGGCGCATGCGCAGCGCTGACCTCATACGTCATCCGCCGGAAGCTGCTTCAGTGTACAACTGTTGGCACAAGCTAGAATAAATTGATTATTACGTTTTGAATATGGATATTTTTCTTACAAAAACACATCGATTTGCTACAGGAGGCCTTTGTTCACCCCCCGGAGCCGTGTGAGACACTTTTATATTATGGATGGATGTGCTTTATTTCACTTCTTTTGGACTGATGAACTGCAACATCAATGACTGCCATTAAATATTTAATAGTCTATATTTAATGACTGCCATTAAACAGTTTGGAAGATCAAAGACAATTTTTTACATAACTCCGACTGGATTCATCTGAAAGAAGGAAGTCATATACACCTAGGATGGCTTGAGGGTGAGTAAACAATGGGCTAATTTTCATTTTTGGGTGAACTAACCCTTTAAATAACTTTGCAACTACATGTCAACTAGCAGTCATTAGAGTATTAGTAGACTGTTATGATAGGGTTAGTAGAATAAGTTCACATAAGTTACTTGTTGTCAGTTGAATGCGTGTTGTGAAGCATCAAAATAAAGTGCAGATATTAAGCAGACAGTCTACTAATACTCTAATGACTGCTAATTGACATGGAGTTGCAAAGTTACTTACAGTTAGTAGTCTAAAACGGACTATCAAAATAAAGTGTTACCAAAAAGTATTTTAATAGTCTGTTAAATAGTTCAAACCAAATAAACTACTTTTACAGTACCTGGACAAGGCCTCTTAAAATGGCACTTCTGGTGTGAAACAACGTATAAACAAATATGTGTCCGTCTGACAAATATGATAGACTAACAAATATAAAACAGTGCAGATGAACCACAAGGCATGCTATATGCCTCTGTCAATACAGTCATGCAAATACAACATCGGTTGTTCTTGAAGGTGCTGGCAAGCGCTTAGGAGACATTTACATTCATAACTGATAATACTACAGTGTTCTTCCTAGTTGACTTTGACAGCAGGTGTCAGACGTACTGTTTTTCTACTCCCACTGCTAATTAAACACTCATTAAAGGGTCAATTATCCAGGTGCCTCCAATTTTCTCTGCTGGTACAATGTTAAGCTCCAACATGAAACAGCTTAAGGAACACAAATATGGTTTGGGTACATTTTATGTTCCGGTGGACTCAGCAGGCAATTGAGTCAAATTAGAAAACAGGATGACGTTCATTCATATTTATAGACACCTATAAAACACCATGATCATAGAGATTTGTTCTCGTCTGCAGGGAATCTGTGTATTGCAAGACACACAATTATATCAGTCATGTCATGTTAGATCATGTCATGCTAGAAGAACAAGTGCTAAACATGAGAAACTAACAATGAATTCTCTGTTTTTATTGTCTTCATGCTATGCAATACACTATACATGAATAAATGTGTAATTAATTTTACAGTGCACATGATGGATGTGCAGATGGTGTCTGATGTGTTTGGTTGCTGTTTGTCTATAGAGTTGTTAAGGATGGCACATCAAATACGAGTCAATGTTATTTCTCTAGAGGACAGAAGAGAAGGGACATGAAGTACATTACAAAGAAATATATCAATATGTGATCTACTGCCAGCTCCAAACAGTCTGTACAATAACGACTGCATCTCATGATTGATATGCTGTCAGCAACATTGAATAACCCAACAAATCTTTACATCTAACAGGTCATGTTTTTTCTGCCTTAATGCTGATATTTTACAAAAACATTTTTGTTTGTTTTCAAATACTATTTTTTCACTTACAAACCGAAAACAGAAGGACTATAGAGATATTTGTTTGTTCACATAAAAGCACCAGTTAAGTGCATTTTTGTTGTTGTTTTTTTCATTTCACAAATAGTGACCCAAATTCATCATTTCTAAAAAAGTTTAGAGTAGATGCCAAACTAAACTAAATAAATAAATATTAGGATAAGATGGGAAAGATACCACAATGCTACTTCTCTTGAATGCAGATGTAAAAAAATATATATAAATTTAAACAAATCTATTGAATAATTATAGTCTAACTTTTGAACAATGTTTAAACATCCTATGAAATAAATCATACAAAACAGATTTGAGTGTATTGTACATTAGACTAAAAAATCATGTCGATTTGGAGGGTACTATTTTTATTTTATTTTATTTTAAATTGAAAAGTTAATTGGGGCAGTTGGACAGAAGGCAGTGGCATATTGTTGTGATAATTAAATCATTATAATGATAATGGTGTTGTTATTTAATAATTCCAGGGTTTGAAGTTACACTAAATTAGATTTCAGCCAAATCTTTATTATTCAGCACAACATATATGATAACTAACCAACAACATTTAATGTAAATTCATAGTCTATAACTATTGTGACATCATTGCAATTAAAATACATGCATAGTTTACTGTGCAAGAGACTAAATTCTTTGTAAAAGAAAAACTGTGGAAACTTCTCCACTATACTTGAACAGCCAGGTTGTTGAGGTTGTTCTATGCATCTTGGAAAAGTTACCACAGATTACCTTCTGAGACTCATTACTAATCTAAGACTCATTGTATATTTAAGTAATAAGTATAAGTAATTTTCATATATATACTGTATATGTATATATATAGAGAGAGAGAGAGAGAGAGAGAGAGTATGTTACCGTAAAATACCTTTGAGATGTTTCTCCTTGACTGGATGCTATTTGGTTTTAGCTGAAAGTATGTAATACTGAATCAAGATCAAGTTTACTAAGTCACAAACTATCTGACCGATATCAATGTAGAGGCCATGCAGCTCTAAAGAACAGAAAGGACTTGGTTAGTCATAGAGGGAGTAGTATAAGGCATTTCTATCAGTCTTCAATTATGTTTATTCTCAGCAGGAACGGGCTCAGTACAAATCCCTGAGGTACTCTGCTCTGCTGATATTACACAGTGTGTGAAATAAAAAGGATTTCCCCTCATTCTCTAGCTGAGATATTGATCTATCGATCAGACATATAAATCTATGCTCCGGGGCTTATTCTTTGTATATACGTACACACTAAATCCACCAAGCATCTATAGTGTTAGCTTGCATGTGCAGTAAACTGGAGAAACACAGGTGCCAAGCTATGAATGTCTGAATGAGCTTTCAGCACACTGGCTATTGATATGCCATAGCAGGCGACCATGTGACAATCTCAGGGTTTATTGAATAAGACTGAAACATCAATAGTAATTCACTTTTAGCTGAAGGGACATCTGCTATCTCCAGCCTCACTGATGGAAATGTTACCCTTTATCTAGCAAAAATATCATGCTAGTCAGTCAATACTAAATACTAATGGTATAAGTGAATACTAATTATTAGTGTTTTTTGCTAAGGCAAGCATCACTATTGCTTTTGGTGACACACCGGGTTAGAGATTTGAACAAACCCTTTACCCTACATTTTAAAATGTTTGTGCATCTTTTACATATAATAAGATTGTGCAGCTTGTTTAGGAGAAATATGCTATTACTTTTTTAAATTATCAGATTCTTTATATCAAGTTGAAAACTAGTTGAAAGTATGTTCAACTTTAACGCATACATACATTATACTCATGTTGGGTGATTTATACTAAATAGCTTAGCTCATCTTGTGTCATCACAAAATGCAAACTACATTATCGGCTAGCTCTAATGTGCTAAATGCGACTATAAGACAAGAAGATAAAATTATAAACATCAACAATGAAACAATGTGTATTTGCAGTACACTCTGCAGGCCAGAACATCATAGAGACTTAGGTGGGCTTTATTGATTTTGTTCATTAAGTAATCAGCCAGCAACCAACCAGGGCTGCGTTTCCCAAAAGCACCCTGTAGACCCATTGCCACCAGTGGAGCTACGATCAACTTAGGCTTACGATGGGAAACGCAGCCCTGAACACAACAGAGCACAACAGTCGGGTTCTAGAAATTAAAAATGCCATTAATTTTCTCCATAGGGAAATAGATTTTTAACAATTACTTGTATACCTTTAAAGACAGACCTATACTGTGAGCTCCGAGTTTGTTAATAGATGATACATGCTTTTGTTGAAGCCATCAGTTTGCATTATTTCAACTTATGTTTTAAAGGTAGCACTTTAGTATAGGGACCAATTCTCACTATTAAATACTTGCTTATTAGTATGCCTATATTAACATATTGGCTGATTATTAGTACTTATAAAGCACATGTTCGCTTATGTTTTAAAGGTAGCACTTTAGTATAGGGACCAATTCTCACTATTAAATAGTTGCTTATTAGTATGCCTATATTAACATATTGGCTGATTATTAGTACTTATAAAGCACATGTTCTGCATGACCATACTTTTTTTGTGCCTCAAATAAAAGTTTATAATGATTTGATTCACCTTATTGCTGGTTGGTTTTGGTTCATGGCTTTATAACACTTTTTAAATCCCCATTGGAAAAATGAACAGAAAAAAAATTACTTCTGGAACCAGCAGGGCTCAAAAAGCGAGCAGGCATTAATTCTCTCTATAGAATTGTGTGTGACCTGTGCAAAAGCTGGATACAATACAGGTGTCAGAAGCTTCACCATGTGCATCTCTATATTCATCTTTTACTTTCCACCTTCACAAACCTAAATCTGTTTGTGGGTGCACTATACAGTACTCATTATATGCATGTGTCAAAAGGGCATGTAACTCCTTGGCAGATTAAAGTACAATCATGTTGGTACGTGACATCTCAACATACAAGACCATCATCCAACACTGACCATCATCTGCTTGTGACCACCAGAACTAGTAGGATCTGGTCTCCAAGATGTCTTGAGGTGACAGACTGGAAGATATATTTTAAATCACAATGTGAAGACAAAGAAGACAGTCATTGTATGACCAACCAGATGAATTTTGATTTGGACAATACAGTTCCCATGAAGACAGTGCACTGCTTCCTTTGGTCAAAATCTTTGTATCAAGGACTTCACAGATTTATTAGCAGTGCAATATGACCTTCAGGCCTGGGGACTGGGGACAAGTGAAATTAAGTTTGTCTGCAGGTATAATAGTTTAGGAGTGCAGATTCAAATGATATATAGTGATAACCTGTGTGGAAGAACTGACGGACAACACGTCAACATGTCAACACTGACCGAATCCCTGAATCCAACCTTCCACCAATGCTTTGTACTGTATGACATAAATACTGAATTATTTAAACGAAAGCAACACGTTTCCACCTTAAAGCTACTGTCACACATGAAACCTGCAGGTCTCCTGAACCTGTCAATGCTGGAGTTAAGTATTCAAAAGTTTAGAATCACTATGTAATGTTTTTTTTTTTTAAAGGACCTGATAGTGATAATGATCACATGATCGATCAGTAAAACATTTCAAATGCTATAAATGCATGCTTTTGTTTGCTGTTCTGCAACTTGCAGCAATGACAGCTGTGCAGACAGCAAGTTTGTTGAAATATTCATGTGAAATATTTTTAAATCCCATTCCGCTTTTCAAGAAATATAAGCATACTTTCAATAAAGGCACAGTTCATTAAGCAACACAACTATTTGAAATGTTCTAATAATAGAGATTTCCTGAGCACTAAATTTACATAATGATTTTTAAGGATTATGTTTATAGCATAAATATTTTAAATTATGAAGTTAAAAAAATAAAATTGAAAAACACTGTCTTTTTTTCAGATTGCTACTGAAACATATCCATAGATCCTTCAAAATGCATCTGGATGCTAACTTAGAATCTCTCTGTATTTATTTTTATTTTGCCACTTGCTTCCACTTTCCCCATCTTTTTGTCTAAAAATGCACTGCGAGCAATTTACAGTCTCATGTGTTTCTGCCTCTCTTTTTTCCACTGTGATCACCATGTGAAAGTAGTAGTTTAAAAGCTTACTGTTGCCATTTCAGTGGTGCAATTACCTGGATATTGCAAGAGATGCAGGAAAAAAAAACATATATATTTTTTTCTTTTATCCCTGCAGCTTCTGCCAACAGACCCTCCAAAAAAGCCAGATCCAGTCACTTCAGAATCAGTGGTGTTTTGGGGCCTTCGATTATGGCAGGTTGTAGGCATTTTCTCCATGTTCATCCTAGCAATTAGTAAGTGTCTAAAAGAAAAATCCATCATTTACTATAACTGTGTTTTCACTCGATTGTTCCCATATTCTTTCTTTCATGCTTGGAACACAAAAGGTATATTTTGCCACTCTTTTCAATATGATAAAAGTGAGCACTGGGGCTGTCAAAGTGACTTCAGAAGACTCGGGATATAGCACACAGTTTTATAGACTATGTTTTAAAACTTTAATGAAACCTATGCAGTATCGTTTCTGAAGCTCAAAAACTCCAGTCTCCATTAACTGTAACTGCATGGAAAAGAGTGACCAGTATATTATTCAAAATCCCTCTTTTTGTGTTCCACAGAAGAAATAGCTTACATGTTATTTATAAAGATTATTATTGACATGAGTGTGAATAAATGATGACAGAATTTTCATTTGTGGGTGACCTCTTTAAAATGGCAAGCTATGCATATATTTGCATTCAGAATTCACTTGAATAGATGTCAAAATAAACACTTAATTATTTACACGTAGTGAATCACATTAAGCGATTTAATGAAATTCCCCCAGAGCAATATATCAATTACAGAACAAAGAGATATGAGATGCTGCCTGTTGTGAAGGACAACTCTCTTTCAAATATTTCACAGCTTTCTTCCTCATTTCACAGTAATAACACTGTGCTGCATCTTCAAATGTCGAATTCCACGAACGAAAAAAGAGATAGAGGCTCGGCACGTACAAAGACAAGCCGCGAAAACATATGCCAACACACTGGAGACGGTGCCCCCCCTCAACGAACTCACAGAGATGCCGGGAGGTAAGTGCTAAATAGCCTACTTTCAGATAATAGAAATCTGATCGTGTTATTGTCTGATTTGTGACCATCTTCTTTGTTTTTGTCTGTTATTTTGGTCCTTTAAGTTCACATTATCCCATTGTGTAAAATTCCCAGTACAATAAACTATTTATTTTACGTAAATGAATTAATACAGACATACAGTACACTGATGTGAATAGTTAATTAACCTATAAAGACAAATGAATATTGAATTTTTTTTTAAAAAGGATTAAAGATATTTAGAGGCTATTTTAAGCTTAATGGTTGAAAATTCATAAATACAATTACTAGTAATATGATCTAATGGTTTATTGCTTTTGACCAATAGGTGGCGCTGTTATCAAATTGATGTGGTGTGGTCAGAGTGAGTTTTTGGTGTAAATATGTCAAAGCTTTGCAAAGATACAGCCTTAGATGTACTGTGGCATCATGCCATCAAATTCGCTGGTGTGGTAACTGAAAACCGTTTTGTCTATCGACATGAAATCCATTAATTGTTTTTGTAGCATGGTCTGAAGATGATCTGGTTTGATTTTCACAAAAATTGGAGGATTTAAAAAAAGTAGTTTTTAAAAAAAAAACAAAAAAAAATCTAAATGGTAGACAGTAAGTTCAGCCATTTATGGCATAATTGGCATCGATGTTTTCGACATGATCCAGAGAATATATCAAGACCAGTTTCATGACAATAGGCAAAACTAATCAAAAGTTATTAGCATTTTTAAAAATGTCATTATAATTCTTGACCACAAGGTGGCACTTCCACCAAATGTTTTGAGTACCGACATACTGTACCGACTTTCGCAACAATGCATTCGTAAAATATAGCATTTTATAACAAAATTCATAATGGCTGATGCCCAAAATGGCCGACATGGGGATATTGGGTATGGTTGACCTCTGTATGCTGCGCTAAATCTAAAATGACCAGTTTTGATTTTTGGCCAAACTGTTCAGAAGTTTTAATCAAAAATGTCAATTAGGGATATGCCGGTATCAAATTTTCATGTTGCGATTAATTGCTAATGCTTTTATCACGGTATACGGTATTATCACGATATTGAAAATTAGTTTCAAAAAAGTGTTGTCATAATACAGTATAACAGGTTTAATAACTTTTTTCTTATAACAAAAATAACTGAACATTTAAATACAATAAAGCAATACCAAAAATTGTATAAAGTTAAAAGTTTTACACAGATTAAAGTGCAAAAGAATTATAAAGACCAATAGATATCACTTTACAATAAGACCTCATTAGTTAACTTTAGTTAATGCATTAACATTCACAATGAGCAATAGCTACATTTGCTACAGAAGTTATTCATTATTAGTTATTAAGTCTTAGTTCATGTTAGCTCATTAAATAACACAGTTGCAACTTTCGATTTTAACAACGTTATGTTAACTAATGAATTAACTAATGTTAACTAATGAAGCCCTAATGTAAAGTGTGACTGAACAATGAAGAATCAAATCACTTTCAAGCAAAATCTAGGGCATGTTGTAGTCCAGATTAAAATGTAAAAAGTTTTAAATTAAATAGCCTATTAAGTTTAAATATTTAAGTATTTGGCGCTGTGATGAACATCATAGCAAATACACAAATCTGAATGGCTGTTTAAATAATTTTAAATACGTTTCAGAAACAGAAAGTAGTGCAGCTGCTTTGTTTACAGGGTTACGGCTGCATTTCTGCTGTTCAGCGCCATCTGCTGTCAGAGAGTGAAAGTGCTTTCATTCAAAGCGTCTCTCACGTGCTCCACCATGTGCTTCTCATAATATATAATTATCCACGGTATTTAGAAGTGCCCACGATAACAATATCGTGCATATTCATTACCGTGATATATCACATTACCGAATACCGGCACATGTCTAATGTCAATTTTTCCATATCTCCCTACCACTAGGTGGCGCTGTGCCGAAACTGTGCAGGTAGCCTTAGGTCATGGCTATTATAACACACACCAAGTTTGGTCTAAATACGCTAAAGAGATGCGGAGATATAGCCTCACATCCATTTTGGCGAGCTCTTCATCACATTTGTTCATGCGTTCTGGTTTGCACGAAAATCAGACAAACGCTTAGTAGGAGGTCAAGTTTTTCAGTGCTTTAAGAAAATTTGTCATCGAAACATTTTATTCAGCAAAAAATTATAATTCTGTGGAAAAAAGTACTGCCTGGTATTGTCCCTTTGGTAGAAAAAAATAAATAAAAAATAAACGTCTTGCTGGTGTATATTATAGTTGTCACACTAAGCATGGCATTGGATCACTGGCCAAACAACTTTTTATTCCAGAAGCCCTGAGCTGTTTTTTTTTCTATACTGACTTCTCACATAGACACATAGACACATTGTGCAGATTTCCATCCTGATAGAAATCTAGAAAAGCCACACATCGTCACTGAATTCTCATTTTTCTTTCTTCTTCCATATTTTCCTGCATTTCATTTCAAATCTATTCTTTCAGCTGATGTGTCTGATGTCATCTGTCTTATTCCAGTGCTATTACTCTTTCCCTTTGTTTATCTGTATTCTTTTCCCTCTTTTCACGTCTCTTGTGTGTTTGCTCAGCTCTTGCGGAAGCGTCAGCTCTGCAGACAGTCTCTGATCAGGTACAGGCTCGCGGTAGTGGACAACTTCCTGTGGTCAGGGAAGAAGATGAACCCGCCAATCCAGTCACTTAGAGCGATGCGCTCAAGCTCTCCTGTTCTTTCTGCCTGCCTGTCCTCAGCCTGCACTCCTGGATGCCTTAGTGTAGAAAAGACCATCAAGACATATTATCATCATCATATTTATGATGAAACTGGTGAAATATGCTGCTCGCAGTGTCTTTGAGGCTGTTTTGCCTGCGATTAGAATCTGTTGTCAGTAGGTGTAAGTGAAAGATGCAAGTGTAAATGTAAGCGAATCCTTACAAAATTCAGCCTTAGGTGCATCTTAGAAAATATAAAGTAATTAATGAGTAAAAAGCACATATCTTTACATTTTCATACTCTTTTTCTGTCTTCTAAAGTCAACCTGGAATCAGAACTGACCCCATTTACTTTCCTAACACACACATTGCTGGTCTTATTGTGCATGATTCGTTGATGTACAGTTTTCCAATGAAAAAGTGTAAAGAAAAACCTTGATGTGCCAAATCCATAAACTGGTTGAGGGACGTTTGAGGACCATTCTCACACAACTAAGATATTAAAAGCTCACTTAGTCTGACTCTGAAGTAGACAATGCAAAATGAACTTTGTTGGTGATATATATGGCCAGTTTTGGGAAAGCTTGGCACATTCAAGTCATATCCAAAGTTCTGTCATGAAACTCTAGATGGCGCAGTCTGATAGGTCTAACTCAATCTGACATAATGACATCATCACATGGCATAGCTGATTGGTTATTTTTGTATCAACAGCCAATGAGCTTGCAGCTCAACATTCAAATACTCCGCTAGTGTTTGCTGTAGCTGTTGCAGTGCACGTCAGAAACCCTCCACCTTCCCCAGCTCCACCTGTATAGATCTGCTACGGGGTGATTTTATGTATGTTATATATGGGGGTAATTTCTTATATGTTATATGTGCGGCAGCAGTATTTCTTACATGCTCACATCTGCATGTTGTTGATGTACTGGCAGAAGCAAGTCAACGTAGCAGTTCTATTTCGCTCAGACCAAACACATTAACATTGTCATTACCATGCCAAACCCTCAGAGAGTTGTCATGATATAATTTATGTTCAAAGCAGCTTTACAGTAATAAACAGGAAGTAAACTAATATTGTCAATGCTGCAAAGTTCAGCAATTATAAACCAATTTCAGTTGTAAAGCAGCTCTACAGAAGAAAATAGTGTCATTGTTGCACACACAGGACAGGCTGATTGTTTTCTGGTGGCACATATTTTATTTTGTTGTCACTGCACTTTAATCTCCAAAATTAACAACATACAACCTGAATTATACAGCAGATCACATCTTGAGCAGTAATAAGTGAAGCAATCCTTGACATTCTCTATACAGCCACTAAGTGCAGCATAAGAACACAACAGCCTTACTTCGAGCATAACCCACTTATTAAAACAAATAAGTTTTTTTTTGACAAATAAACTCATGAATTCTCTTGACATTCAGAAAGTGAACATTTGAGGTATTATTGAGGTACACTTTTGCAGACTGAAACCATGTGAGAAAATAAGAGTTAGTCTTGCTTGCATCACTAGGCAGCTTTGTAACAGCTCATAATATCCGAGTACATCACCAGTAAATAATATTAATATGTGACAGTCTCGTATTTCAGCATAAATCACACTATCAATCACAGTTTTAAGCCGCACTATATTTTGCATGACACACTTGTAAAAACTCTTACGTCTCAACACAAGTCAGTGTTAATGTCTCTTTTTCTGAAAATGCCTTTTGATGCATTGTTTATAAAACAAGCGCATATTGTTTTCCAGACACAGGTTGTGAATTCTGTTTCATGTTGACTTTACTTAATCCTGTGGGTCACACTTTATTTCAAGGTCAAATTCTCACTATTACTAACTATTAACTATGACTTTTGCCTCCATAAACTCCTAATCTGCTGTTTATTAATAGTTAGTAAGGTAGTTGGTAAGTTTAGCTATTGGGTAGGATTAAAAATGTAAAATATGGTCATGCAGAATATGTGCTCTGTAAATACTAATAAACAGCCAATATGCTAGTAATATGCATGTTAATAAGAAACTTGTTGATAGTGAGAATTGGTCCCTAAACTTAACCGTTACTATTCTGTGTGTCTGTCTATGCCATTTTTCCTGAATAAATAATTAACCTCTAACTTTCTTTCTGACAAAGACGGTTTATCGTGTGTATTGATGTCTCCTAGTAAAAAATGAATATTGATGTGTTCAGTGATACCTGCAGCTGTATGACTCTACGCTGTGTGTATCATGAGAGCTCTGAATTATCTGTGAGAAACATTTTCCTTAAATTATTAATATTATTTTCTTATATATTAACAGTGATTATGCAAGTTCTGTATTTCTGTTGACTGAACCAGCAATGACAATCATTCATGAATTAATAATTCTTGTAAATTGGTTCTTTCTTTCTAGTGAATTGGCCAAACGGATCGCAAAACAGTGTGAATTGATTCACGTTAGTTTGGACCGCTCTCTCACTGAATAATCTGAGGTAGTTCAGTCAGTAAAACTAATAGTGAAACAGCACTGGATGAAGTGGATATTTGACAAACTATTACAAACTATACGGCTGTACATGTGAATAAGTGATTTTGTAACCCTTTTTTTCTCCAGTTTCTTTCTTCCAATGTGAACATGCACTAGATGTACATCTTTGAACATTTTGTTGCTTTTTGCCATTTTTGAGTGGATGAATATTTTTGGTTCAGACGCCAGAAACATTCTTTACACAAATGTGCATATATGAATGCTTGGCTAATGCAATGCAACAAGTGTTATTTCCTTAGTACATACAGTACTACTTAACATACTACCATAGCGAGCTATAAACTTGTCAACAGTTTAATAAACCTCATCCTGCTTATTCAACTTCTCTGCCATGAGAAAATGCTAATGCTCACTACAGCATCTCTTGCAACATTGTTGAGATTGCAACGTACTTATACGAAAATGAACTTGTACTGTTCTGAATTATAAAGTTCTAAGTGCTAAAAGCCTACATATATTTGCTAAACAATAATTTTGTGAGTTTTTAGGATACTAAACTACAGACATGGAAAGCCACAACACTTCAAATGGGGTCTTTAACATCTGAAGATAAAAATAAAAGCCCTCCTCAAGCATTGCACACATTTTTTGCATTGGTCCACTTTGGCACTGTCACATTATGGATTGTCTGTCAAAATTTCAATAGGATCATGGTTGATAAAACATTCTTTGACAGACTGTAAATAGACAAGAATTTTTAACAGCGCAACGGGTCTCCGAAAACTGCAATATGCATGAGATGGAACCCAACATTGACGTTCCATCTGCGCACATGAATGAGGTGTGGAGAACCGTACGCACACACAGTGCCAAGGATAACGCATATATGCTTGAAACAAACAAACCCACTGAGGCTCGCACTTACACACATGAACCCTGACTTAATTATATTCATCATTAGAGCTAAAGACATTCTAATGGGACTCTCCCAGATACCACGGAGACCATTTAGCACAGGAAGAGCCTCTCGTCAGGCGCCGTACGAATGCCTGCTCCTTATGTTCATGGATGGAATGCATCACACACTTGTGGCTTAGTTCTGTGGACACGTGCATTTTTCACAGGCAGCTATGCAAATAATGTCAGTGGGTTTCCACTGCGGCTACATCTGGATTAATTAGGTCACCCATAAAAAATGTAATTTGAATATCATTCAGAGAGGAGCGTCCTGATTGTGCGGTTTGCGATCAGAGTACGTCTTAGTGCTTATAAAGCACAAGGGTATATGTGTGATCAAAACCTCCATTTACACTCTTCACAGTTGTTTGTTTGTAAAAAAACAACAACAAACACACATTTACTGTTAACTAAACTTCTTGCTTAATGATAGTAAGTAAAGTAGTTGTTTTTAGGTAAAGTAGAGTTAAATGATCTAAATATGGTCATTCAGAATAAGGCATTAATATGTGCTAATAAACAGCCAATATACTAGTTATACGCATGCTAATAAGCACCTAGTTAATAGTGAATAGTGTTCCCTAATCTAAAGTGTTTCCAAACATACTGTGAATTTCAGGGGCCATATTCACAAAACATCACGAAAAAAGCCGCTCCTAATGGCAAAATTTGGAGAAACTCTTAGGGTTTCATCACTCTTAATTTTACAACGCATGCATTTCTCATCTAAGAGTAATTCACAAAGCATTTTATTTTTGAAATTTGGTTAAATATGTCCACTAATTAGTTTATTGATTAGGGACAATAGAATTAGCCTTGATTATATTCTATTTAGCTTAAACACACACACACACACACACACAAATCAAAATCTGCTATGGGGTAATATAACAATTTATAATCTTTTACTGAAGAAATTAAACAATATTTTATCAAACTTTGATATTTGGCTCAATATTTTAAAAGATAGTTATCGAACTACATTTGATAAAAATCATATTTCAAGGTCAGTAATATATTACATCAGTATATGAGAGTCAAGCCGAATCCCTGACAATATTCAAAAGAGCTGAAAAGTCATCTCTTCCATGAGCACTTAACTGCATCCTACTGGGGGGAAATGCTTTCAATTTTCCTTAATCCCTTCCTGTTGTAGCTTACACTATTCTGAACTAGTGTATGTGTAAATGTCACTTACTTAACAGTTTTCTATTGCCAAAATTATGAAAAAAGGATCAGTCAACAATATAAAACAACTGAAAATATTCAAATCAGGAATGTCAGAATCAGAATGCATAATTCATGCATAAAAAATAATAAAATAACGTCACATAATGTACAACTTCCTGTTTCCCTCAGGAACTAACACATGTTGAACTATAGGGCCTTTCGCACCGCACGTCACAATTAGTCCCAGTTGTGCCAGTTAGACCCTGCTCCGGAGTAGGAGCTAATTTGGTTCTCGAAAAAGGCAGTCCGGTACTAAAACCACACCCAGTTCCGGCGGTGCGAAAATGCCAAAAAGTGGGTAGTTCCACAATTAGTTCTGGTACTATGAAAAGGTTCCCACGGTGCGAAAGGCCCTTAAGTTACCTAACATGGTGAGGTTTTTTTTTTTTAATTGGGTTTTATTCTTTATAGCATGCGGTGTGAAGTATTTCACTCCGTTCCCTGATCATTCCGATTCAATTTCGGTGATTGAAGAACGTCTCGGTTACGTATGTAACCCTCGTTCCCTGATGGAGGGAACGGAGACATTATTTCGATGACGATATTAGGGTTCTTACTTGGGAGCCCGAATCCTCTCTGATTAAGAGAAAACGCCAATTAAATTTGGCAAGTGGATTTTGCATGCTGAGCCACTCCACATGCATACAGGTATAAATAGGCGACAGTTGCATCCACTCATCAGGTTTCTGAGTGGCTTCAGC